ATTTGATGCTTTGAAAATGAAATGCTGATGTTCTTCTCATATAGTTACATGGAACTTCTCAATAGTTCTGTTTTCGGTTTCGTTCTATCACTCACCTATTTATGTATTCATGTGTATATGTTGTTTAGTTTATTTATATTCATATAAATATCTATATTTAGTTAATAAAACTTGTACATAATATGTATTTGGTTCTGTTTTGTTTGCAATACAAAGTCACTTTTACGATCGCGGTTTTTGCTACTTGCTCAAAGTGCTGTACATGCTAAGAAATAATTATTCTTCTGTGGCCATGGAAGATACCCTTTTCTTAGAATAAATTAATAATCAAAAGAGTTCGTTGGACGAACTGATTAATTGATTGTAATATTAATTCAGCCACATCAAGTTAATCCAATTAACTGACCCAAATATTCATAATTAATAATAACAAGTTATTATTGATTATTAATATTTCCAAAAAGCTGAGTTCCTTACAACATTTAGCTTTAAAACACGAGCTCAGTCATATTCTTTTGTGTAAAATACAGATTGACTGGAACGTCAAAACATCCCACCGCTGTATGGCCAGATGATGTAAAAAACTATGTTTCTCGGCTGGATAAAGCAAACCAGCATCTCGCTAGTAAAGTTTTGATGGATTTATTTTAGAATTAGTAACAGAGGCTTGGGCACAACTATCAAACTGTCAACTTGAGATTTGAATCCATGGCGCAAGGAAGTAGTTCCGCACAAAAGAGGGTTTTTAAAGACACACTGTTGTTGTTTCTTATTTATTTACACACTTGTGCTGTCGATCTGTTGTACAGTATAAATATCACACTCATAGCCATGCAATATGGCTGTATATCAGGCCTACGGCCGAATCACAGCCGTGCTGATATACAGCCATATCATTGTGGTGGTTGAGGAGATTCCCCCCTTCTATGTAAAGTGCTTTGAGTGCAGAGAAAAGTGCTATATAAATGTAATGAATTATTATTATTATATCGTATGGCTACTCGTGTGATATTGCTCATAATGTATATTATAAATGTATTATATATATATATATATATATATATATATATAGTCTACATAGGTGGCATAGGTCAAGTCACCTTCATTTATGAAGGTCAAGTCACGCTTTTACCAATATAGATTGTTTCAAAGCAGCTTTACAGTGATAATAGGAAATTAAAAGTAACAGAGATTGTTTTGGCTTTACAGCAGCTCTAGAATAAAGTTATTGTCCAGCTAAAGTTAGTTTTTGATTGATTTACTATCATTGCAAAGATCATTAGTTATTAACCTAGGGGCCGCTTACACGACACCGTTTTAACTGAGAACAGAAAACTTTTAATGCGTTCTGGCCGTTCATTTGCACGACAACAGTGTTTTGTGGCTGGAGAACGCAAACCTTGAAACAGGTTCAAAGGCGTAAGTTTTGAAAAATGTTACCATCTCCATGTAAACTTAAAGGGGAACTTGGCAACTCTAGCCATTTCTTCGCTGATTTTCACTTTTGTTGTCGCATGTTTTCTCATCGAGCTCCCCCTACAGCTGTGGGGCGTATATTTCACAACACTGTCGTAAAAAAAACTCACTTGCGGCACTCTCCTCCCCCTTTCTACTGCTGCTCATGTGCATTTGTTATTATCGGAGCCGGCCAACTTTATCGTGTGGAGTTATGTCTACCGAGGTGGGTAATACATCATACACAGTATCATAGAATTATGTCGAATTGCCATAAAGCAGTTCGTGTTTCTCGCTCGTTCTCGCTTCTCACAAGACTTCCTATTTCCAACTTACCGGGACGTTAGTCCCAATGTTGCAAGGTTGGTTTTCAGCCTGGGAGTGCTGGGGGGAGCAGGGAAAGTCACCATTCTCACCAGAACAGGTTATTTAACCATCCAAATTATTTCTAAACGGTTTTATTAAGTTGAAATAGTTGCCAAGTTCCCCTTTAAAAAACGTGAATCCTGTGAAAACGGCGACAGCGTGCACATGCATGTCATGTGTTTAGTCTATGGGCCCTATCTTGCACTCGGCGCAAATGACTTTGTACACTGACGCATGTATCATTCCTATTTTGCACCCGCGCAAAGCAGGCTTTTCCCTCCACAGACACACGTCGGTTAACTAAGAAATACACTTGCGCTCCCCGGGGCGGTTCAGCGCAAAGAGGAGGCGTGTTCCGGCGCAAACTTTCCCTCATGCTATTTTGCTGTTCTATAAAACAATTGCGCCACTGACCAGAAAAAAAACTAGTCTAAAGTCAGTGGCGCGTTGCGCGTTGTTCATTATGCTATTTTAAGGGCGCATCCTTGGCCATAATCAATGTAGCGTGTGCACAACGCGCATACACGTTGATTCTCTTATCTAAGCAGCAGTTTTCATTTTTGCAAATCATACATTATTACGATAGATAGATAGATAGATAGATAGATAGATAGATAGATAGATAGACAATTTATTATAAAAGCATACATGTAGCTTACACATTTACCCAAATTATCATACGCCTGTTTAACAGAAGTTAATTTGGGTGGGTTTCTCCATCCCCAATGTCACTTCTCTGTGTTTTACGGCCCTGACGAGAACGTTGCTCTCCTCGGCTGTGAACCGCTCCTGGCGCGCGCCTGGCAAATCCGCCGTTATAATAGGAATCCGCTTTAGAACAAGCGCGCCTGCTCTTAAAGGGAATGTGAGATGACGCTCTGATTGGTTTATTTCACGTTACGCCCAAACCACACCTATGAATAATGAAGCTACTTCAGACCAACCCCTTTTAGATTTGCGCCAGGCGCAAGAGGCATTTATCCCGCCGGGAAAATAGCAACAGCGCCGGGATCCGCCCACAAAGTTACTTGCGCTTTGCGCTTTGACACTTGCGTTTCAGATCGTTAAAATAGGGCCCTATAGGTATGCGCATTTGAATATATATGTGCGCAGGCTTTCTTTACAAATTGATATCGCCAAATAACTTGTCTGGCCTGCATAATACAGAATGTTAAGTCGTTTCCGCGGATCGATGCGAACTGGAATAATTTGGGAAGGGAAGGAGGCCTTCACAGGGGAGAGACACTTCAGGGCTGCGTTGTCGTTGTGTCTAGGGACAATGTTAGGAAGACTGTTCCACAGTTTTGGCGCTAAATAGGAAAAGGATCTACCGCCAGCAGTCGATTTTGATATTCTAGGTATTATCAACTAGCCAGAATTTTGAGATTGCAATAGACGTGAAGTCTCACTTGCGTTAAGAGCTCGCTCAAGTACTTGGGAGCTAAACCATTTAGTGCTTTGTAAGTAATCAGCAATATTTTAAAATGTATACAATGTCAACACTGCATAGGGAGCCAATCCAGTGTTGACAGAACCGAGCTAATACTTCCTGGTTCTAGTAAGAACTCTAGCTGCTGCGTTTTGGACCAGCTAGAGTTTGTTTATTAAGCGTACAGGGCAACCACCCATAAGAGCATTACAATAATCTAGCCTTGAGGTCATGAACGCATGAACTAACTGTTCCGCATTTGTCATTGATAGCATATGTCGTTATTTAGAAATATTTTTATAGGGGTGGTTGATTATGATTTCACTTTTTTAACTTTAGTTAGTGTGTAGTGTTGCTGTTTGAGCATAAACTACATCTGCAAAGTAACGACGCTCAAAGTTCAAAGCTAAGGGAGATATTTTCTTTTACACAAATTGCTTTTTTAAGGACTACAACAAACAGCTGATTGGGACTACAACGAGCTTCTTCCCGGGTTAATGACATCACAAATCCTAAAATTGAACGCAATTTATAGATTATCATGACAGAATATGCTAATCAATGACTAGAAGATAGTTAACTCCACATTAGCTACATAAATTCATCAACTGACCATTCCGAAACGTCCTGTTGTGTTCTACATGTTGTCACTTCTTCTTTTTCCGACTCATAACATAAAAGGCTAAAAGTTTTTGAAATTTTTGAGTGCATGTCTGTGTGAGGTAATCGGAGCCAAAGACATAATAGAGAGTAGACGCCCTATCGACCGTGGACGAGCCGTGGGGCCGCCATCTTAGACTGGTCACCCGCTCCGCTCAGTGTAATCTGTTTGGCAGGTGCAATGAGCTGTCAAAGCATTTAATTAATCATATCTCACTGAATACCGAACTGATTTTCACGCAGGTTTTTTTGCTGCAAAGGTCATACATGTAGCTATGATACAGGACACATGGTACAAATACACAAAATACAACCGATAGTACGGTAATGTTAAATCTTACTTGTGAAAAGTAATCCCCCGAGCCCTATTTGCGATGGTCCGCCGATTTGAGCAGGAATATGCTGAATATGCACAGTGCTCTGGCATCTTAACTGCTGCTATGCAACGCAATTAGGAGTATGACCGGTTAAAGATGGCGGCCGCATTTTGCACTGTGCCCAGAGGCCAATAGGGCATCTAGTGATATGTCTATGATCGGAGCTGATAACAAGCTCTGCCCTCTGTGCTCGGAGCAGCTCATTTGCATTTAAAGGGACACACACAAACAATGCATTTTTGCTCACCCTCAAAAAGTGACAATTTTAACATGCTATAAAAAATATCTGTGGGGTATTTTGAGCTAAAACTTCACATGCACACTGGGGACATCAGAGACTTATTTTACATCTTGTGAAAGGGACCCCTTTAAGATGGAAGAATGCAGTTTTACAGATGCTAGAAACGTGGCTTTCAAATGAAAGATTGGTATCAAAGAGCACACCCAGGTTCCTAACCGATGACGAAGACTTGACAGATCATCCATCAAGTGTTAGACAGTATTCTAGGTTATTACGTGCGGATAATTACTCTGTTTTTTCAGAATTAAGTAGTAGGAAATTACTAGTCATCCAGTTTTTTTATAGCAGTTATGCATTCCGTTAATTTTGTGAATTGGTAAGTTTCGTTAGGGCGCGAAGAAATATACAGCTGAGTATCATTAGCATAACAGTGAAAACTAATGCCATGCTTCCAAGCAAAGGTCAGAGGTACCTCAAAGTAGCTTCCAGCTGAAAAGGGAAAGTATGGCAGTTCACGCTCCTCTGGCCCCCATGACTGGCTGAGAAGAGAGTTCCTGATAAGCATGCCAGATTTGATGTGTGAGTTAAGGTGCAGGGCGATGTTGTTTGATTGGCTGCACCTTAGGTTAACAGTGAAACTTGAGAAAAGACAAAACAAGATAATTAGGTGTCAAAGGCAAAAACTGTACAAAAGATAAGTTTAGTATCTACCTGTGAGGGAATAAGCTGATATGCCCTTTGATTGTTATATGCTGCCCTGGAATGACTCCTCTAAGTAAACTGCCCTTGTAGGGTATGCTCTGCAAAATGACAGTTCATGTTGTGAGTCATGTTTTTATCATGTTAATATGAAGTGCATTTTTTTCATTAATAAGAAAAAAATAAATTATGCAAAATCAGTTGTTGATGTCAGGTGCAGGGATGCTAAACTTACTTGGTCATCTGATTTTGAAAATATTGCCTGTACAAAAACAGAAAATATGTCATTGCAAAGTTCAAATGCATATTATTTACCCTTTTCAACAACATCCTTTTCAGCTTTTATCCTTATGTTTTGTATACAAATATAATTGTATTATTATATACAAAAATGTATACCAAATGATATTAATTATGCATACATGGAGCTGAACTAACTGTATAATACTGTTTAAAAACATCAAAGTTGGCCAGTCTATGCACTGTAATCTAAGCACAGGGTGGCTACTATATTTAAAAATATTTATATTTTTGGTCACTATATCATTCCCATACTTGAGTGTTAATGACTCTACTATTATAATAGCATTTGGAATATAATAATGATAAAAGGAATAATAAAGAATGAGTAGGTGTGTCCAAATTTTTGAATAGCAGTGTTTGTCACTTACTGAGTCAGGGATAAAGCCAATGGCATGCAGTTCTACTTTTCCAGAGACTGAAAATGTGTCGACCATCTCAAGAGGAATTCTGTGTTCATACTCCAAAATGTGAACGCCATTTACTGCTACCTACAAGTAAATGAGTTAAATTCCTGTCACTTAAAAAATCTAAAATTTCTCTCTGGAAATAGCTCTGTTACAACAACTACTACGAATAATAATTAATATCTGCTTTAAACCAAATACGCTGAAGACTGTTAACTAGCTTTTACCTGTAATATAATGTTTCACACTCACTTTGAAAACATCACAAAGTACCAAGATAATGGTCTCAAAAGTAGCTCCTTGTTTAAAAGGCATGAGGTCCATATTTTCTTCTTTTCCCCAGTTTTCGTGTTGTAAAGTGTTGCACACAATCTGCGGAGAGCTGCTGAAGCGAGGATTGAAGTGAAAGGCAACATTCGCCCGTGGCTTTGAACTGCAGCCACATGTCAAATCAAACTGAAACCTATGGAAGCACATATTGTATTACACTGAAATATTTGTACCTCCCTTTTTAGTAGGCCTCATTTGTAGAAAGCCTAAGTCAATGTAATCACTTGGAACCTACTACGGCAACTGAAATGAGAAAATAACATTTTGGTGAAATATAGGGGTTTTAATTGAGTATACTGTATTAATATAAATGGAGTTATTGCTAAAATACCACCTGTAGTGAATCTAACCTGGCTGTACCACAACTTCACAACTTTAATGTGAAAATTTAGGTGAATTGTATAGTAAATTCTTATTTATAAATTATTGGTAATATAAATAGTTTGTATAATAAAAGGAGTTTTTTTATTTGTGGCAAAATCCACCCATAGCATATCATTGTGAGACAATTAACAGTGTATGTGAACATGCCATAGTCCTAAATATATAAAACTTACAAATCACTTGAATGAATGAATGATTTGACATTGCTTATACGCAAATTTTGCGTATTACAAAATACGCAAACGCATTATAATTTGTGGGTGGAATATTCAGACGGTTCCATAAGCAGCATAGGCGATAGTGTTCACTACAATATTAAAAGAAACTGGGACACAGAAGGGCATAGAACCTTAATCATAAATAAAATGAATGCAGACTATGGCATGCTTTAAGATTCTCATGTAATATATCATGATAATAAACCAACGGATGTATTGAGTTGACTTAACCTGTCAGCATCATTATGAACACATCCATGTATAACAATCATCTCTCCTGGGTGAAGACCACCCGGTATAATCTCAGTGAAGGGGACAGTCTGATGAAAATCAAAATGAAAACCACGTTATAAACATAATCCTTTTGCATTTTATTGCAGTCTAGGTTACTATTATGATGCTAGAAACAGAATGCTTAAAACAACAACAACAACAACAACAACAACGAAAAAAACAGATTTAACGCTTGAGAGGTTATAGGCTATATACAGTAGGCTAAATACAATATTGTTGTCGTAGCCTTTGCTGTAAGGGCGTCTCAGATAAATAAATCGATGACTTACCGGATTGAGAATCGTCTTTTTTGCATTTGCGACTGACATTAAAATTCCTCGATTTAACAATAATATACTTAAAATTTTCAAAACACGGCCTTGCTAAATTCCCGTTTTCTCCATTGACAAAGGAGTGACAGGTTGCGTCTCAAAATCTACGGAGCTGCATGCTAAAACACCATGTTTGAGCATCATTTGTAGGAGGTTCCAGACTGAAAAAAAATCCAACGAACGCGAGAGAGATCAAATCTGCGAGAGAGATCAAATCTGCGCGAGAGGAATATGAAGTAGGCAACGACTGAATTATAAAATAAAATTGGAGGGGTTGGGGATAGTCTCATGCTTTCATTTGTGTGTGTTTGTACTGAATTGTGCCAGAATTTTTATATTTTTTTGACAAAAAAAATCATTCATTCCTATGGAGGTCAAAATTGACTTTCTTTTTTATTTCAACCACAATCACCACTCCGATGATTTTTTTTATGATTTAAAAAAAAAAAAAATATATATATATATATATTTTCGGGTTCAAATGACCCGCTGGAAGGATGAAGAAAACTACCAGTAAATTGCTACCAGTAAATTGACTAGTGCAAACTTTTGTAAATCACCTTGCATGATTCACTGAAATGCTCTCCTCCCATAAATTAATATGTGAACTATGCAATCACCTTACAAAGCAAAGATGTCTGGGATGTAGTTTTACAAGTTTGTACACTGCCCTAAACATTTGACTCACTCACAAACCTGAAGATTGGTGACATCTTATAGAAAAAGGTTAAAAGGTGAGCTCTTAACATCACAACACAACAAATAACAACAATAAAGACAAAACTGTTTTCGATTTATTTTTTTTGGTCAGCAAACAGAGAAACAATAATTCTCTTACAAACCTCATCATTTATTCATGCTGCAATTCATGCTGGTAAATCACAAAACCTTACATTTCATCAATATTGTTCAAAGTTCTTTGTTCAGACAACTATTTGGGGGGACAACATTTGGGTGAAATCTGTTGGTCTACCATGGTGTTTTATGTTTAAGTTTAAAGTAATTCACACTTCTTAGCACTACTTGAATAAAATGGTCTCATAAACCATTGCTTTTTTAACAATGTAACTAATTGGTTTAAGTAATCCAACTTTTAAACATGTTTTACCTATGAACTTGACATATGGTTAAATACACATGGAGGAAAAGAAAATAGTGTTAGAGCCCCCAATAAGCAAGCCAAAAGCAACAATGGCAAAAACTAGTTTAAACATTTTAAAAAACGGTAAAGCTAAACTTTAATCTTTGCGTATTAATAGTTCATTACACTATCAGTCAGTTTGCAATATTGGGTCTAATATGCAAGTTACTAAATAACTTGTTTATTGAACTATTTATAAAAGTAATATCAACACAAATAGTGTTGTTGGTCTGAATAGCATGGATGTGATTACCTGTGACATTGTGTCACAACTATTATTATAATTATATGTATATTCATTTTAAATATATTACATATTGTAGCATAATCCACAATGATTTAATATTTGGGAGAGGGAAAAGGTGGTGTTTATATAATTATCGTTTTATATTCTGACATATGAGTCAGTGTCCAAAGATGTCCATCTAGCATGTTTAGAAAAACAATTACAAAGCAGCACAGTGGAATACAAAAAAAAAAAAAAAAAAAACATTCTGTGTGAACATGCTTTTAACTATGTTCTGTTGTAAAGTACAATGTAAATGAAAAATGTTCAACGCAAAAGAAGCTGTTATTCTGGAATTGCAATTCTGGAAGATACAAAGTGATTGTGGCTCTACATTTAGACACTCATTCTAACTCATGTAGAAATGTGGAATCTGGATATCAAAACAATCATACAAGAAGTGGTATAATTCTTTCTAATAATTAAAGAACAAGAATGTGTAATGTGAAAAGTTAAATAAAAATAAAATAAAAAAGGAAATAATAAGCAATACAATTAAGAGTATGTGGGCCTTTTACCAGTTCAAATGAAACTGTGTATGAAATGCCTAAATCAATTTGACACTTTCCAAGAAAACTAAACTAACTAAAAGAATTCCCTGACGCGTTGTCTTTGCAAGCCCCAGTCATGGCATTTGCACAGACAAACACAGTTTTCCATGTGAAGATGAAATGTGAATTGCAGAATTCAAGTGGATTTAAGTAGTCTTTTTAACCACATGGATGAAATAACAGGGCGCTTCTCCTTGCCCTGGGGTGTATTGCTTGAAGTCACCATATACATTGTGCTCGCATTTTCCAAAAAATGATGCTCTTAAAATCTCCTTAAAACTCTCCACACGATGGGGGTAGTATGACAGGCGGAATTTACTAAAAGACACAAAGAAAAAACATATTACTAAAAACATCATGTATAACCAATTCCTGATACACACATTCATTTTCAATGTATATAAAATATACACATTTATAATTCACACATTTATAATCTCATATAAAATAGTAATAGATCAACAAAAACGACAAGTAGGTATGAGGTATTGAAAGAACTGTTAAGCAAACTAGTGTTTGTGTCGAACATCTAAAAAGCATCTAAACATATTCATTCCAATTCAACAAATAATTTAGCATTTATCTTAAATGCTAACTACAAATTATTTTACATATACTAGGGATGCATTGATTGTTTGGCTACCGGCCGGCATAAATCTGTTCAGAAATTTAAGGCTGATCTTTTTTTATAACTGCGACATGCACAGATTTACGCATGAATAAACACTTGCTCAGCCCTTAAAGTATGACATCAGTGGAGGCTGTATTATTGCATACTGTAAGCATTTGCGATGTTATGGATTCAGACCTTGTTTATTTCAGATGATTATGGCTGATTGTTTTAAAAATATAAATAAGTATTAACTGTAAGGTGCCCGTTTTCAAGAATCGCTGCGGTAATTGTTCTGGCTCAGTAATCTTAGAGACAGAGGACAAATATCCTGCAAATGAATGTAAAAATAGATATGGTGGAATGGACTGGAGCAACATAAGGGTGTGTAAATGATAACAAAATGTAAATTTTAGTATGACACCACACTGAGGACAACTGAGGGACTCATACGCAAGTATTACAAAACAGGTTCAAACATTCAATGATGCTCCAGAGGGAAACACGATGGATTTAGAACCAGGGGGTGTAAACATTTGAACAGGATGATATGTACATTTTTCGTATTTTTTTTAAATATCATATTTTTTCATTTAGTACTGCCCTTCGGAAGCTACAAAAGATACCTGCATGTCTCCCAGTAGACAAATTAAGTACAATTTACCTTGATCTTCAAATTCAAATAGTTTACAACCTCTGGTTCTTAATGCACCACGTTTCCTTCGGAGCATCATTTAATATTTGAACCTTTTGTAATACCTGCGTATGAGTCCCTCAATTGTCCTCAGTGTGAAAGGATGGATCTCAAAATCATACAGTCACTGCTGTAAAGGATTAAAATATGCAAAAGATGCTGGAAAAGCAAAGAATTTTCAGGGTGTAATGGTACACAGAAGTCAATGTGTGACGCTACGTAACTCGGTTTTGAGGTCACGGTTCGAAACGAGTTTGGTACAACAGGAAAAAGGGTCATACTTTAGTTTAGGGTCCAATTGTCACTATTAACTATGATTTTTGCCTTTTTTTAAATTACTGCTTATAAGTTAGTAAGGTTTTTAAATTTAGGTATAGTTTAAGGAATGTAGAATAAGGTCATGCAGAATAAGGCAATAATATGTACTAAAAGTACATATTAAAAGTACTAAAAAACAGCCAATATCCTAGTAATATGCATGCTAATAATAAGCAACTAGTTAACAGTGAGAATTGGACCCTAAAATAAAGTGTTACCGGAAAAAGCAACATATGCAGTGCAAGGTTTCTTTTATTTGATTTTGAACAGATAGTAGTGCAAATTACAGTTTGTTCCACCAAGCGGCATTTAGTCCCCCCTGAGCTAGTTGGTACAGTACAGCCTCCTATTGTGTATTAAGCACTGATAATGCATCACAACCACCCAAAAACTGACCCCACCACAGTACCTCGTATCAGGCGGAGTCTGAATGTCCTCTGCTTGGGGCAGTATTAGAGTGTAGTCCAGTGTGATCATGTGAGGCTTGTTATTAACCCACAGCACTGAGGTGGAGATGTCCTGCCTCAGGTCACTCTGAAACACAAGTCCTTAAGTATATGAGCCTCACAGAATGCAACTTAATTTTTTAAGTTTAAATTTAAATTGATAAAAAAATGATAAAAATATGACTTGCTTAATGAGCCATTATAGTGTATATAATTTATTATCTCCAGATTTAAGCATAATTTTATGGAATGATTCAAAAACTACAGATCCTGTCAAACTGTATGTTTTTTTATATTCCTTCTTATATGCCTACAGTGTTGTCTTCTAATCCATGATTTGGCTCAGTTACATTCATGTTTAGGCTGGTAAGGCTGAGAAAATAGTTATCAGAAGGCTTACATGGAATGTCTATATTTTTTCACATTTTTGCAAGTGAATGCATAACTTTAGTTAAAAGCCAAGCACCGTTATAGTCTATATATGCTATTCTTAAAACACAATGAAATGAACTGTGGTGTGGTTACATGTACACAAATGGGTTCCCTTTCAGTCAGTCACATTCGACATTACTTTCTCAGGGGAGATCTAATTCGTCAGTCGTTCTGACGTAACTTCTCCGTTCCCTCTTTCAGAGAACGAGGGTTACATACGTAACAGAGACGTTTTACCTTATAGTAGATATTCTTTCCTTGGGGTGCTTGACCAGTCTCGAGGATGTAATCATAGTTACGGTGGTCAATAATTAGGATCCCTCCAGGTTTCACCATGCTGGCTATGTTTTGCAAGGCAAGCTTCTGATCACTCTGGTCCCCTGTGAGATATGAGAAAGAAGTTAATTAGTTAAATCTGTCAAAATCTGAAACCTATTTTGCTTTGGTATTCTTACCTTTGAAGTCTGGTAAATGAGCGAATGAGTTCCCTAGACAGATTACTGCATCAAACCCATCTCCAGGTTTCTTAACATCTTCGTGTAATGTTAGCCAGTTGGCCTCTTCAATTACTAAAAAGAAAAGATCAGACCATGGAGAAACTTTTAAAACATTTTTTTTTATTCTCACTCAAAACAGAGATCTTCATTTACCCCAGTTATCGAAGGCTGGCTCTTTTCTCCTCTCCCATCTCTCTTTAAGAGCATATTTGAGCATTTTGTCACTGGCATCCACACTAACCACCTTGAATCCCTCCTCTACCAACATGATGGAATCCACCCTTAAAAAAAGGTAAAAATGTGCAAACATAAAACCATGTGCAAATACATGTCATCAACACCATTACTGAGTAGGTTTCTCCTTAAGACAGTCTCAAAAACGCGGTTTGGAATCGCCAGTGTTTCTGATGTCACAAACTAACCAATCACGTCAACATGCCGGTGGGCTTTAGTGATTGAAGGCGGGGCTATATTAAATATAAAAATTAATATTTGCATATTAATAGTTACGCGTATACCAGGGATGGGGAACGTCGGTCCTGGAGGGCCGCTGTCCTGCAGAGTTTAGTTCCAACCCTAATCAAACACACCTGAACAAGCTAATTAACGTCTTCAGGATCACTAAGGCTACAGGCAGTGAGTTTTAATCAGGGTTGGAGCTAAACTCTGCAGGACAGCGGCCCTCCAGGACCGACATTCCCTATCCCTGGCGTATACTAAATGAAGCAAGGGTGTAGAGTTACATTCAAGCTATTTTAAGGCATGAAGAATTTTTTTTCACAGAATTTTTATTTATTTAAATATGTCATTTTGGTGATCAAAGATGAGTTTTAAGTGATACAATTATTGACTACAGGGGGACTAGTCCCAGACTAAAATGCATGTTTGAGCTGTTTTAACTGAAAGCAACTTGCACTGATATATCCAAAAATATGTCAGTGCCATTATTTTGGCTCGAGATGCACACCAGTAATGTTTTCTAAGGCACGTTTATAAAAGCTACTTAATTGTCCTAATTAAACTAAGGCATAATCCTGGCTTAATCTATGCCCTGTCTGTGAAACCAGGCCATAGAGTATTATCTTATGGCTTATGTTGACTTAATTTTTGTACAAACAGGTGCTGTATTAAGCAGCACATAAGGTACTGAAAAGTGTTTCTGTTGCTACATGAAAACATCTGAAACGTCTGTATTTGCTAATCTAATCTGTGAAAAATTGCGCAAAGGTCCCTACAGGATGCAGAAACTTGTGGCGTTTCAGGAACAAGACAAGAGTGGTACATTGTAAACATATACAGCGAAACTAGAGAGCCATTTTATTTCAAATTGGAAGTACTTCATAAAGCTCAGTGCAAGTAGACCATTAATGAACAAAAACCCCTGGGAAATTGAATGCATGTGTAATCCAATAGAAAAACAGAACAACATGTATCGGCTGGAGTTCAAAGGTATGTCTAAACAGAAAACAGGTTTTGTAGGTTATGCTGAGTTAACAATTGTCCATTAAGACTCCACAAAATACAGATTATCATTAATGTGTCAATTGGCAGGGAGCAGAAGTTCCAGTGGATCATATATATATATATATATATATATATATATATATATATGTGTATGTATGTATGTATGTATGCATGCATGTATGTTTGTAACTACCTCACCCCTATTTTCACGTACTTTCATCTCTTTATGCTGTACCTACAAAATATATTTCAATAAACATATATTGTATTACTTTGTTGGTGTCATATAGATTTTTTTGCAGTCAAATTCAAATGCCACTTTAAAAAAAATCATTGACACTTTACAATAAGTTTGTATTAGTTAACATTAGTTAACTACTGCTACTTTAGTTAACATGAACTAAGAACGAACAATACTTCTATATAATTAATTTAATCTTACTAAGATGAACAAACTATTACTGTATTTTTATTAACTAATATTAACAAAGATGAATAAATATTGTAACAAATGTATTGCTCATTCATTGTTAGTTCATGTTAGGTAATACATTAACAGAGTTAAAAGCTTATTGTAAGTATTACAGTTTTATTGTAAGTGTTACAGAATCATCTTTCAAAAGTATATTTAGACTATTACACAAAAAGATAAAACAATTAAAAAATATATATAAAACACACACACCGGCTCTGATATAACATCACTTAAAATACAGCTATACAGCTGCCAGTGGCCCAGTGACAAAAAAGCACAAGCACTCTTTCATCGTGGGACTCTGGCTGCAAAACTGACTTACTTTAGCCAAAATGGCATTCCACTTATCAAAAAGCTTCAAGGCCAACCCACATGACTCAGATTAGTAAGAGGTGGAGTTCAGTAAACCAAGACAGTAGCCTAAACAATCTATCAGTGGACTATTAAGTCCATTAAGCTTTATTAAATCTGAAATGACCCCCACCCCTATCAATCGGACAGATAAGCAGAGTAAATAAATAAAGTACTACAGACAATCGCCCTGGCCTTGTCCATCAGATATCATGCGAGGGAGAGTTTTTATTCGTTTTATTCATTTCTTAATTTTATAAGTTTTATTAGTTCATACCCTGTACCGCAGGCTACATCCAGCACCCTCTGAACCCCATGTTTTCTCAGCAGGGAAAACACCCAGCTCTTGTACTCCTCTGTCCGGCTCCGAGTGTCTCCGATGTACAGCTGCCACACTTTCGCTGCTTTACCGTCGGCATACTGATCAGGAAGACCAACTGCACCTATACCGAGAGAGCGTGTACGGTAAACACTGTCCACCATACTGAATTATCACACCACGTGAACTGTTCGTCTTCCGGATCTGAAATAAACCTCCTGCCTGTTTTCTGTCCTCGATTGTTTTGCGTCTCTTCCTCATGCTTACATGTCTGTTGACATTTATATTGCGTCTGTGTTGAAACGGAAACTTTTGACCAATCGGACACCCGTATACACTTACGCCTCCATTGCTATTGGCCGAGGCGTGTGATGACGAGCAAGGCTGCTGACACACCCGATCTGTGTTTCATCATATTTTTAAAAGGTTAAAATTAGATGTCAGGAAGAGAGTGATTGATATGATAATGTTGGCAAAATGTCGAAAAGTGGGTCTTAGGAACTAAAAGAACATTTTGCGTCTGAAGTTGTGAATATATGGGGGGATGGGGGGGTGCTGGGCCTCGAGGCAGCGCCCCAGAGCGACGGACGCCAGCAGGGCGGCGCTGCTGAGCAGAGAACATATATATATATATATATATATATATATATATATATATATATATATATATATATATATATATAAACCTGCCTCTGAGAGTTTTTAAAATGGATATTTATGGAAAGAAAAAAAGTGTCATAGCTGTTTTCTATGTCCATTGTTTTCATTCGTGAGTTTGTCTTATTTAAGATAATACACTGAAAAGTAACATGTTATGTGTAATTGGACATTTTGATGTAGGCTAAATAGTCCAATTAAAGTCATGATAAAGCTATGAAATGTATCATTTACTGTCTGTAAATTAGTTTTCTTCAGTTGCAGCAGACAGTCTGGACTCAGCACTATTTTTTTGCACTTGCATTCTTGAACAGATAATCTCTTTCCCACCCCCTCACCTCTCTTGTACTCAGTGACACCAGTGTGAGCACTGATTCAGAAGGAAATAGTAAATTAGCTGGCTACACTAGTGTAGTATCCATTCAAGCACAATAGCACTGGATGAAAGATAACAGTTGCGAAAACAGTCTGATTCATGTTGACTGTTCATGGAATCAGTCAATTCAAATTAAGTAAATGTAGTAAGTGAATAAAGTGTTATATCAATTGGCATTAAATCAGAGGCAATTTAAAGAGCATATTGCAGGTAAAAAAAAAATCTAAATTAATATATAACCTTGTATAAAAATACCATATGAAAAGTTAATGCAGGATTTAAAATGTTTTAAAACGACATAAGGGCACTAATTTAGTAGATAAAGTGAGCGTTTCTTGGACTGCTCGTAAAAACGGCTTTTTTTTTCAAAATCGCGTCATTTTACGTCACGCTAGGGAGCCTCAGCCTCGTCGGCTCAGTGCAGAGTAGGCTGGTATTCAGTGAGAGCGGCCGTGAGTCAGTGTGTTTTTGGTAGTTTTTGTATTTTAATTGATCATCGTCATGGTAAATTATTGTTTGTGGAGGTTGCAAAAACTCCGGCCTGTCAGGACATCGAGTCCACAGGTTTCCATAACAGGAAAAGGGACGGTGTTGTTGTATATCTTTCGTGCCTGGTGCGGTTTGTGCAGGTGAAGAGACGGGATTTCTCTTCCGCATCGGCTTCGAGAAACGCGGTCGTGTGTAGCGTTCACTTCAGATCGGAGGATTATCATCCCGGCGATATGATGGAGTTCAAAATGGGATGCCGAAGCAAAAATATTGATCGTCTAATACTGTACCAATGGCATGAAATAGTGTGATATAGGTAGTCATGCCCTAAATAGAGGCAACTTGTAATTGAAAAACAAAATTACTCAGGTTGTTTAAATATTCAAATCTTTAATTTTCTATTTATGTTATAAACCCAGGTGAAAAATATGTATTAAAAATGTACTTGGGTATGTTTTTAGTACAATAGAAATATACTCAAGTATAGTTTTTATACATTTAATAGTATAAATCTACCCTAAAAATACGAATGTCTGCTGGCCTGATATACGATGGTAATAATCTGTACAATATTGTGAGCACAGTGTATATCGTTAGCGAACGTGTATATATAAGCACGTCTCTCACCAAGACACCTGTCCTGTTCTCCACTGGTTCTCCTCACACCACAACTCAATTTGTCTCTGACCGTTCTGTCTGACATTATTCCTGGCCTGTCCCTGCTCTCTTGGCAGCATAGCAGGCTCATAATTGTATGGCTGTGGTCCGTCATACAAGTAAGTAAGTCCTTAGCGTCCGAAATGTCATTGCGATCCATTGTTTTCCTGTTGTTTGAATCAACCGCTCTCCCGCCCGTTATGTCACGCCCGCCACGCCCATTTTCAGACGCGGAAGTAAAATTTTCTCAAAAAAACGACTCCAGAAGCTTCTGTAGCGTATTTATAAGTATATTTTAAAGAAAATCTAGTTCCTACATTATTTTTCTATACATTGACTCGTTGGGTCCTCTAACCTGCAATATGCCCTTTAAATCAATTAGACAAACCAAAACATATGTCCAAGTGCTTAACTATTCTTACAATCTAATACATTAATTTAACCCCCCCAAATTGTATTTTTTAAGTTACTTGGAATTTTTAAGTTACATTAAATATTTGATCAAATTCTTCCCTTAATTGAGTGGTCCTGTAAAGTATTAATTTACAATGTGAAACATGTTGTTATTTCTAACAAATAAACCATTAAAAAAAGCTGTATGATTACAAGACTTTATAATATGATATATATTAGGATGTTCTGTATGCCCAAACAAACAGGACAAAAATCATTTTTCAAAAATATCAACCTAGAAATGACATCCTTAGTGATGGGATGAGATGGGATAGATAAATGTTTTGTAACATCAACATTGCACACTTTATCTGTGAGATCTGTGAGGAACAAATAAATAAAAATGTACAAATGAAAATGCTACATTGTTATCCACACTGCTTTTAAGTAGACCAGGTGTCTTTTTTTCATACACATTTGAGATTTATGCTACAGAAGAAAAGAGAAAGAGAAACAATTTAGAACAAATTTGACAAAGTAACAAGGAAATCCAGTCTACGTTTTCTCTTTCCTCAAGGGTGAGACATTCATACATTTATAATGGACAAGACATTGGTTTTGTGTAATTAAATTATTAACTTAGGCATGGACAAACACAGTATAAACATCATTTCAACCTTTGACCTTCTGCACAAAAAGAATGAGGTTAAAGAGCAGCTGAAATGAAATATTTGTGTTGATCAAGTGATGATTGATGAATGTTATCTCTATACAAATACGTATCAACAGAAAAATACTATACATACATTTATGCAACAGCCACAAGGTAAAGGCCTCAGTCTCAAAACTGCATTAAATTTGTTGTTGTATTCAGCCATGTCTTAACATTTAAACACTGATTTTCAAAGCTTATAGTTGCAATAATAAGTTTGTGAACCCGTCGATTATCTGAATGTCTGCATTAATAACTCATACAATTTGGTATGATCTTAAAGTCCCCGTGAACCGGAAGTTGCAAACGACTTTTCTCCAGTGTTGTGACGTATTTCCAAGAGAAACGGAATACTAAATGAGGCAAAATGGTGGGCGTGGCTTTTTCCCCAACTAGCACCTGATTGGATCTAGAAAAGTAGGTGTTTTCATTCAGCCTGTCTACTGTCAGTTGGAGGGGCGTGATTACGGATGTTAAGCAGACACCCAAACCGTGAAACCTACGTCATCAGGCAAGGTCCTCCAACGCAGAGGGGAGGGGAAATTTCAGATTTTGATTAAAGATTACGAAGCCAAAAAATTTTTGTGTGTGGATTGACTTGCATGGATGAATTGTTCACCACAAAACGATCAATTTAGGCAAACAAAGTAAGTATGGTCAATTTTGAATTCATGGGGACTTTAATTTACTAACAATTACAGACAAAAGCAATATAACATAACTAACACACAAACAATTGTACTTTTTTGTACAATTGTACATCAAGTAATTATTCACAGTGTAAGGTGATGTAAGTGAACCACTGAACCACCAGTACTTATGCCATGCTATGTGTCTGGTTTGGACTTTTGTCTTATTTCCTGTTTCTGTGCCATGTTTGTAGTCCTTTGTAGTTTTCATGTTGATTAGTTCCTGATTGTTCCCAGGTGTGTTGTTAGATACTAATAATCATATTATATATGTAAAATATCATTTATTGTTACTATTGTAAATCTATATTAAATTATTACGGATCTCCTTCAATGCTTTCAGAATCTTTATATTTTATACTTAATATTTTTATAATAACATATTTGAATGACAGTATTGAATGATATGAAAAAGGAATTCTTTTATTTATCAAAGTGATTGTTTTAAACAAGTTTTAACGTAGAGATTAATAAAAACATATTATTTTAGCTAAAGTATTTGTATGTACCCAAAATGATACTACTTGATATGATAAGGCCATCAGTCCTGCAATAAAGAACAATTAATAAATGCATATTTTAACTGGAATGCTAAAATGAAACTAACTTGCCATCCGCGTCCATCAGAGATACCTACATGAATGAACTGAAATGCTCTGGAGCAGAAACAATTTACTCAAGGAGATCAGTGTGATCCTTGCAGACCATCAGTTATGAAGGACACACAGATAAACAACATATGTCAATTTCAGATATTGCAATAGAAGACATTAAATAAGCTGCCATAAATGTTGAATGTTGGTTTGTCAGCTTAGATCGTTATTATTTATTTGAGGTAGCCTTGTACAATGCCAATGTTAAAATACATTTTAACCATAGTTACTTCAGATCACCAGTAGAGGTCATACTCGCCTTACTAATTGCCTAGCCCTAGGAAATCATCATCTGCGCATTCAAGTCTGAGTTTATTCGTGCTGAGTGTAAATCATCAGCAGGTTACATTGTAATTATTTTACCCATTATGTAATTCACTAAACAAATGTTTTGGCTCCTGTTCACAGTCAAGTATCAAATATTTATGGTGTTATAACAGGGGCGTAGGAGCAATTTTGAACCTGGGGGGGACAGTAAATGCTAGGGGGGGGGGGGGGGGGGGGGGGGGATGTCCCGAATTTTTGTATATACTTTTTTATATATAAGGCACTTAAATGCTTATTTCTAAATACTTATGGGAACAGACTGTATTACTTAGTTTGGTCTAAGCAGTGATTAAATTGTGATTTATTATGTGGGCTCTCTCTAGGGGGGTCCGGGGG